CCCCCCGGTATTTTCTTACCTCCCACATACATGTTTGAAGTTAGATACCTATCTTAAAATATGCTCCGAGTAGCCCCCACTTTGCCCTTAAGGTGCTGAAGCTAATGGTCCATACCTGCCTGTCGTGCCATACTTGGTCAGCCTGGGAAATGAGGGAATGGTACAAGCCAGGTTAGGCTCGCTTCAGTTGTACATGGTTATAGCTCCTCAAAAAAGAAGCTTTCTCAGGGAGCCAGTCTCAGAGACATGTGAAGAGAGAGCAGACTCTGAACATGGCTTAACTTTATTTAAGATTAACATAGAATTATTGCAGGACTGAATTATTCCACTAACAGGACCAGAATTATTGAGCAAAAGGGAATTAAGAGGTACTAGTCTCTTGTCAGAGCATGGAGGTTTATTCTTTGAGATGCAGTAATAGAGCCCTGTAGCCATGGTGGCATCAGTTGCCATATGACTTAAGCACAATTACAAGAGCATATAAATAAACCAAGCAGTAAGGCTGTAGATTATAAGCTGCTCCATAGTAGTAACTCACTTTTGTGGAGACTGCAGCCCAAGCAATTAATGCTGTAGACTAGCTGGTTTACTGTTGATATCTCATTATTAACAGCAAGTAGAATCATTTCAATTACCCCAAGACCATAATCTAGTCTATTGGAAAACACTACAGGATATATTACCTGTTGCTACTGAGAAGAGCATCGGAGAGCCCTAACCTTCACCACCTCCTTCTCACATGCATGAGAATTTTGAATGCCACTACCCTACCAGCTCTTCTTTCACCAGCTCTCCTCTTTATATTGCCTACCTGAGCTTTCTTCCTGCCTTAATAGGTTGCACCTTACCATCTGCACTCAAGCCAGTTTCTTACTGGTCTGGGGGAGGTATCAGTTAAACAAGTTCTTATCCTCAAAGAGACACAGAGGTATTTCACAAGCCAGATAGGGCCTCCTTGTTTATAAATCCATATTTCCTTCTTTATGTAATAATTCTAATGCATTCTATGGTAATAAAAGTTATACAACTCTAAAATACTTAGTGCTCTGTGCCTGTTGCAAAGGCTTCTGAAAGTATAATCAAGAAATCTACCACACATGTGATTATAGGAAGATAGTACTTAGGTAAAATAACTCACTAAATGTTAACAAGCTAAAACAACAACAGCTGTTTTCTATACTGCTTTGATTACTTGTAAGGAGGTAAAGCTGCACAAGATTCAACCCTGTTCATATTAAGCAATTGGGCTAAGGCTTTTGAATTAGTTTAGGCTAATGTCAGAAGCAGGTCTGCTTTGTTATATGCTAAGATTATGCTTGTGATAGTTATTGTGCAGCAGGGAACCTACAGTGTACCCATGACCTAGCTCATTTTACAAATTGTTAATGGTTACATATGGAGTTCCGTAGCCTGGCATCCGGTTTTCTAGCTGGCCATTGATTTGGAACAATGAGTCTAATCACTCTGGTCATAACAGAAGACACTAATATTGCGTAATTACTGCCAGTAATTTGCAGCAATGTAGACTGCTCCCATGTTAGCCAGTATTTCAGTTAGCTAGCCCTCAGTGGACTTCAGCAAATACACATTGTGGTAATAATTCCCCTCATCAATAGATGTAGGTTCTTGGGTTCGGAAGCCTTTTATCTTGTGTTACCTTTTTTCTCTCCTGCTTTCAAGTAGATTTTGAATGAGACGCAGAACATGAATGAACCTTTCAACTGTGGGACAATAGGAAGAAAGTATTATCATATAGTTTGAGCTGTTTGACTTGACGCTCTGAGTGTCACTTGAGGCTGCAGCCTCGGTCTGGATGGCCTAGATGATGACTGGCATCTAAGGCAGAGGCCTAAGAAGATGGGACTAGCTGGTGTATAGGAAACAGCATTTGACTATAGCACCAGGGGTGCTCTGATAGGTACCATACCTTGAGTCAGATATCCAGGATAAAGGGCAGCTGACAAATGGCTTAGAAATTATTCTGTACTCAGTTTACGCTTCCCAGGAAGGGCTGGTCTAAACACTGCTGTAGAGACCATCGGACTACCGTTATTTTTAAAAAATATCCGATCGCATCAGAGAAGGCAGTGACAACCCTTCTTGGCAAGGGACAGTTCTGTGTTCTTACAAGTGCAAAATACGGGTGGCAATTCGTGTTGCATTTAGTGCATCTGTCATTACATCAATTTGCAGTGTTTCTTCTTTTGTGTTCTGCTTTTCCAATGTTCCCAAAGATTCCTTGGATAAATAAATCATTTTAAAAATATATTTTGTGTATCTGCAAAACAGAATCCTTAATTACTCTTCTAGGTATTCTGGTGGATTTTGTTCTGAAGAAGTAAACAGAAATAAATCAAGCCCAGATAAACGCTGGTTGGTATTTTTTGTTGTTAGGCGAAACTGAATAAAACTGTCGAGCAGTAATCCCTTAGAACTTAGCGAATAGTTGCTCTTTGTGGTGCTATCTGGAAACTGGGGTTAAACCTCAGCAGAATTTTGTTGAGCATATTCATATCTGAGATCAAAGGAAGCAGTGAAAAAATGGTCTCAGAATAGGATTAAGGGATTTTCATGCAGTTATTTCCAAAATGAGATTTTGTCCGACTATATTTGTCAGGCTCTACAAAAGACCTTTTCCTTCTTTTTTTCTGTTGTCCTTTTCCAAGAAACAACAGTCTTCATACATTGTTTGTGTGTCTACAGCAACGATATGGGTTTGCTTATATAAGAAGATGAGAGACTTTTGATGGTGCCAAATGTAAGGAGGCTTTTTTCCTACCTATTTCACTGTTTTCTGAATTACCAATGTGATGTGTAACACAAAATAGTTATTATACCTGTCAGCTTTTGCTACAAAGAACCTTTAAATCTTGAAAGAATCTAGATATTTTATAATAATGTTCTGTAGCTATGTTTTTATGTTTTTCTACTGAAGAAAGCCAGGTAGTTTTAAACAAGCTAAAACTATTAGATGTGTGGTATCTGTTTTTTTTTTTTTTTCCTGTTAATTTTATTTTCTGCTAAAGAGTATACTGGACTTAGGCTTGGAACGTGGTGTGTAATTTGAACTTTCCTATATTTTCCTACCTTGCCTACTTCGTCTGATTTGTCCTAATTAAACTGAGCAGACAGTTCGGCATGACATTTCCTTAACTCCGGTGATGGAATTGGTGAACGGAGGAGGGAAAAGCGTTGAGATTTTGCTCAGCTACTTTGTGCAGCAACCCTTCTTTCTGTCTGCATTTTCCCTCCTCGTGATGCAGCTGTAATCAGAACAAATAGTGAACAGCTGCTTGTGCAGTCATTGCCAAAGCTGCTGCTTGGCTGCAGTTTGCACTGCAGCTGTCTCCTGCTCTTCTTCCTTTTCTCACTCTGTCACTTCTTCAGCTCTGCCAACTGCCCTGTTTCGAATGCTAAAGTTTTCTTATCAGAACACAGCACAACAACTAACTTACTCTGCTAGCTCGATTAAACCGGAAGGATCTTGTCAGTGAATATGCCTGTCTAATCTTGTGGTCAGCTAGCTGCACCACATAACTCCCTGCAGAGACTCATCAGACTCCATATTAGTCTAATTAATTTTACACATGTAAACATGTATATGTTCATATACACACTTTCCGTTCCCATTGGAGCCACTTGCAAAATCTTCTTGCTCTTATGGCTACAGACTTTCTTCTAGCAAAAAGTTATGTTGATAGCTATGTTGAACAAAAACAAAACAAAAAGTTATGCTGAGCAGTTGATTGCTGCTTTTTACTAAAGTTAAGGAGAATCAGTGCAAGAAGAGAGAAGAAGCCATGTACTCCAACATCTAGGCTGGCCTCTCAGTCAGGATTCCTGGTTTTTGAATTTCATGACAAAAGAAAACAGGGTCTGATGTCTTTATTTTCTTTTTGCTTCAAAATTATTTGAGGTATTTTACCTCTAGTGAACATAACTACTCTATCAGACTTAAGAAAGTTTATGCTTACTTTGATTTCAGATGATTTGGCTGGAATGTCTGAATCAAAATCTGTTAATTTTAAGATATTACTGCTATCTGAATGGAAGCAGTTCTAAGATAATGTACCTGTACTCCGACCTACAATCTCTGCTTATTTTTATATATTTGATAACAGAAATAGCAAGGACAGGGATACTCAATCCATTTCCTGAGGACCAGCACTGAGAACTGAAATAAAAACTCCAGAACTATAACTGGCTGCAGTCTGGAAATGGCCAGCTCCATAAATATTTCTAAACGTTTGTAGCTTGAACAGCAAAACTGCTGACTGGCTGTTAGCAAACACTGGTGAGATGTGAACAGTGTGGGGGGGTATTTTTCATAAGACAGTTAGTTATTCTTTCATGAAATGTGTTAAGCAACTGTCTACAAGGAATAATAGCAGATTATGTTATGAATGGGGCACTTCCTTTAGTCTCCTTAGTGTGGGTCACTTTCTACTTGAAATCATACTCTTAATGTAGTCAAAATACTAGATTGTGCCCAAGCTTGAAGACTTAATTGCCAAGATGAAAAGGGAGCAAATCTTAACGATCATTTTGAATGGCCAAGATAGTATTTTGTTCTAGAAAGGAAAGATAGTACGTGTGTGCGTGCATGCATGCAGTATTCACCAAGTACTAAACTAATGATCAGAGTAGCTAGCCTTTGTGGCTGCGTTTATTGTTGATAGTACAAGTATCAGTAAATGGGTTTTCTGTCTCAGTTTGTGAATTCCTAGTATGTAATTGACAGAATATCATGCGTACTAACCTAAATGCTTACTAATCCTCCTAGCAATGATTTTGCAACTAGTGAACTACTATTTCTATATAATTGAAAAAAGTAAAATAAAACTTCACCTTCCTGCTCCTTCCCTCTGCTCTCCCTGTAAGGCTGTGCAATGACAGTGTCATTCCACTTCAAACTGAAAGGAGGAGTTGGTTTGTAGTTGAAGTATACTGACTTAAAATATGCATGACTTTCAAGTTTTCATAGTTTAATGTCTTGATTAAAGCACTACTAAAACTCAATTCTGTGCTCTTTAAAATTTGAGAAAATTAAAGGTCTACAGCCGGGCATTCAAATCTACCCAAACCAGTATTTTCTGCAAACGAAACATCTGCTCTATCCTGTGCCTGGGTCCTGATAAATTGTATCATATGCTCCTAATATATGATCTTAATATTTTGTATCACATCTTGCAATATTACTTCTGTTTGTGCTTAACTCTACTGGTGCCTAATTTTGATATGACAGACCTTTTACAGAAAGTTAAGTAAAGTATGGTAGTGGCTCTTGACCCATTTTAAGTCAATATGAATGTGAAAATCGTTGATTTTTAAAATAGAAGATATAACTGAGGACAATAATATGTCTCAAGCCAGGTACACCTTGGTACACCTTAATTACAAAAGGAAAATGGATATATACAGTGATCTAGATGTCCTTGAAAGTTAAGTTTACATCTGGTCTTTTCCATAGCAGACAGTGATTTGCTTCAAGACTCAAAATGTAAGCTGTTGTAATTAAGAAAAGTGAAGGATGTGTGGACAGAGTATCTAAATGAATTGGGTGAGCAAGATGCATCACAGAAATAAGATGCTCCTCTACTGGTGACTTGGAGAGGAAAAAGGGAATTTATGTCTGTGTGTATATTTTATTTATATATATATATAAAGATTTTAATATCTGTTCTAAAGTCTCATCAGCATGAAACAGAAAAATGTCAAACTACTTGGTGTCTGAATTTTACCATAAGGTTATAGCAGACATACTAGTGTTCAGTATGTTTTGCAGAAACGCCTTAGATGAGGAGCAGTAACTTACATTCTTCTTGTTCCCGTACACTTATTTTCTGTTGCCCTGATTTGTGTTGGGAACTCCCTGGTGCACGTGATTGACTTTTAAGACTATGTACTTATGTAAAGTGCTTGGTCTGCTCTGGCATGATTTCTAGTTTGTGCCCCTACAATACTAGTATTGCTAAGATCAATCAAAATATGCACTCCACTTTTCTCCTTGCAGATGAGATCTCTGAGGATGTTCACTTGATATGAGCATTGTATGAGGATTAAAAAAACCCTGTTTAAAATCTTCTGTGTTTGACCTCTAAGTTGTTGCTCAGTTTATTAAAAAAAAAAAAAAAAAAAGGTAGTTAAGCCAACAGCACTTATTCATCTTAAGAATCACTGGGTTTGTGCTGGTGTTTACAAAGGTAAAGGTAAAACTTTTATCATCAGCCTGTTTTTGAATGAATTTCCAGTATAGTTTTGGAAAGTGATGTGTACAGTTACAATTAGTATTAGGATAAATTTAGTACAAATATCAGATGGAAAGGTCTCTTGATTTAGGAGCTATGAACTATTGTTTGGTAGTCAGTGGTGAGACTGTCTCAAAGAAATGTTTCTACTGAGTTGTAACATACTTTTAAAGTGTGATTGGCTAGGGGGCAGTGAAGTGAATGTCAGTCAAAGAACAAAATAAGCAAGGATTCCCTAGAAATGGAGGCTAAAGATGCTGTATCTTACTTGTGAATGAATAATACGTGATGGTTGTCAAAAACACTGTACAGCATTTTAACTTCTGTCTCATTTTCCTCCTACTTGTCTCTGGAGCATTGTGTTAGCTTGATATCTCAACTGTAATGACTTATCTGAAGGGCATCTTAAGTTAATAGAAGTTGTGAGTACCAGAGTACCAGTATTGAAGGATTAATTTGAAGATAGAGCGAAATAGAACTAAATTATCTAGATTTTATTTTCTTCTAGGAAACTAAGAAAAACATCTTTGTATACTAATTTGTCAAACATGTTGCATAGCAAACAGTTTTCAGCAAAAAAGGTACTCCTTGCCACGAAGAAACTATATAAATGTCCTTTAATCTATAATATCTTTGAGTTAGTTTATATTTTTGGAAGAAATAACATCTTTTCTTGGATATCTTGTAAAATAAAGATAGTTATATCTTGTAAAATAAAGATAGTTATTTTGCTTATATCAGCATTTGTAAATAATCTAGACACATTTGATCTCACTTTAACCTACCTAGCCCAGTGCAACCAGCTGCGCTGGAACCACACAGGATATGGAGCTGGCAACAATGTTCTCAGCTACAGCAGGAGCAAGCGTGACCACTAGAAGTCACTTCCTGCTCCTCTTCCAATATTGATGCATAAAGAGTTGTAAATCTAGGAAGGGATGTGGATAATACTAAAATATTACAGAAGAAAATCAATTCTGTTTCCAGATAAATGACTTGCGTGTTTATTTTAAAAGAATTTTTTCTTATGTCAATCAGTCTACTTCCTCCAACATCACAGACCATAAGCAGAAATCACTGAATTATAGGAATGATCAACTCTTAGGACAGAATGAAAAACACCTGAAAAAAAAATTAACCACAAAAATTAAAACCAAAGCTAGCCAATGTAACAGAGGAATATACTACTAAACGTTCTCTCTGCTTTCAAGAGGCTTTTCAATTTGTTAAAAATCTTACAAATCTGTTTGCTTCCCCTACCAGTATCTAACAGAACACCAGCTTGTAAGTTGAATCGGTAACTCTCTGCTTTCAAATAGTATTTCACATTTTCTTGTGGGCCTCCAGAGAGTACCTACAATTACTATTTTTTCAGAAATAAGTCTTCAGTAGTCCTCCACAAAACATGCGGACATGCAACCCAAATCTCATTGACTTGATGGGATATATGTTTCCAAGGATTTTAGACACACAGAGCTGAAATGACAAATGTGCTACTGAATTTGAAAAATTTTGCTCTTCCTCTGCTACTTAACTTCTATTTGTAAATAAAAAGGTGCACTTCAGACTTAACCTAACTGAAGTTGGCAGCAGGAAGAGTTAAATATGTGAGGGTAACGGAAATGGAAAAAGCCCTCTCTCCGTTGTACGTGGTATCCCAGATGTGTCTTTCAACCCTGGACGAGCTGTGGTATCAGTAACTGAGATTCCTTTAGTCAGAACTATATAAATCTTAGAGACCTTAAACATCTTAAGCTAAGATAGGTAGACTTTGGGTTTAAAATAAGAGGCTGCAAGCAGGAACAAACTGTTGCATAATACTTACTTTCATGCCTTAAATATCAGTCAGTTGGATTAATAAGCTGTTTAGATAAAAGGAAATCATTCTCATTGCAAAACTTTTTCAGTACTCTCTAGAAAACTTAGTTCTTGTTTAAAAAAATTAGAATATTTTAATGTTTCTATTTTGTTGACATTTGACTAAATATACAACACATTTTCAGATTGATTTAGCTTTTGAAGGGACCTTGGAAAAAGGAACAGTAAGCGTGTTAAAAACATACCCGTCTGGGTCAGATCAATAGTCTGTTTCCGACAGTGGCAATCAGAGATGCTATTTAGGGAGCACCCAAGCCTAGCTGTCTATGATCCATGCCCCTTGCACACCACTACCATCCACAGTTGTTAGATTGTGATAGAGGATACATCCTCGCCTACTCTCTTTACTATCTTTTTCAAGAAGTGTGGACAACAGGTTTCTGAATGAGTTTTCTTAAAGGTATCTGCATAAGATTCTTATTTGTGGGTCTCTTTTCCCACTTCCCACCCCCCAGAGTAAGATGAGAGGGAGTATTTAGAACACGTGATCCTTAAGTGTTAGGTACTAGTAGTACCTAATATGTCTAATCTGTCTTTATTTCAATATTGTAAACAGGAAAATGAAAAGAACTTAACTGCATTTTTGGACTGACTCCTGATGGGCTGGATTTTGTCTTGTTGGGCGTATTTGAAGATTCACGCTGTGAAAGAAGAAACAGCCAATGGCTTCAGAATCCATGGTCCCAGAGCAGGCAAAACAGCATCTGATAAAGGGAAAAAGGCAGCAGCAGCAGCAAACTAGGTCTTCCAACAGCGATGGTGAAGACGAAATCTTCGTATTTGAAGCAAATGAGGCTTGGAAGGATTTTCACAGCTCTCTCCTTCACTTCTTTGAAGCTGGAGAGCTCTGCGACATTACGCTGAAGGTGATGTAAACTGTCTTGTTCTCACCATCCACATCTATTGTGTTTACCAGACTGAGGATTAAGTTACAAATAAGCGTGCTGTCGATAGCCGTGATTTGGCGGGAGGGGGGTATAGAAGCTGTAGAATACCAGTTGGAGCTGAAGCATCTTTAGATGCGATTTTGTTTTCCTCATTTATAAAGTTCCCAACTTGAATGTAAACATTCTAAGATACTGACAGTCCAAGAGAGGAAGTACATGACTGTCACCTCACCCAACTTGCCTTCTGCTAAGCAAGCTCTGATGGTTGTTCAGTATATTACTATTCAAGCTCTGTGTACCTCCAGCTCCTCATATCCTCTTTCTTTTCATAGCCTGCTATCCCAAATTTATCTCTGTTCCTGCATGCTGTGCTGCTCTGCTAGATCTTTCCTGAGAAAAAGGATTTCTGGAACAAGTCTAACTTAGAGCATTCTCAAAATCAAAGACACCTCCCCTCCAAACAATTAAATTCTACAGCTGGTCAAAGAGCGAAGGAAAAAGAAGAAACTAGTTTTATGATTCTTGCTAGTGTTACTCATTTGTTTGCTTGCTTTGATGCATTCTTCATAAGTTAGCTGTATATTGCTTATATCCTCATCACAAGAACTCACATCACACATCCATAAGAGCGCCTAAAAATATTAAGTAGTGCTTAGCCAACCATCTTAGCAATGCTACAGGGAACAGTTACACAAGAGAAAGAGATGAAGCATAGTTCCAGTTCCACAAAGAAATCAGAAACGCCCTTGGGAGAAATTGTTTCCCTGCCACATTTACTATTGCATATCAACAAGGAAAACCCTTGACAGATGCCTGTCCCAGGTGCCTCCTGGTAGGCATCCCATCCTTAAATAAGCTTGTTGTCACTGATCCTGGGAGACAATGGAAGTATCTGTGAGGAAGTGTGTTTCTCTCCCTTCCACACCCGTGGACTAAAAAAGGAGAATAAGTAAGAATGTTTTTCTGCTCTGCTCCACAACAGATATTACATATTGAAACAGCTTCTCACTAGCTGAGCAGAAACTACGTGCAGCAGCAGAATAGCACAAGTCGCTAAGGACAGCTGAATTAATGCTCACAGGACACTGAATGGCAATCCTGAACCTAACTGGCAAACTAAAGAGTTTGCCACCCCTGATATGACAGCCATGAAATGGAAGCTGCCTGTCATATTAAAAAGCATTTTGGGGGACCTCACCAAAAAAAAGAAGAAGGTCTTATTTTATAAACATAATTAAATGTATACACCTGCTAGGGAAACTTGGCTTTGAAAATGTGCTTTTCTAAGGCCCAGTTTAATTCTCCATAAGCTTGTATGATCTTTCCTTTGTATTATCTGTGTGAAGCAATTTTGGTAAATTAATATTACATTGTATGAATTGGCTGCCAGTCCTGTATGACTTGGCTGCCAATCCCAAAGTGAAGAATACAATCTATGGAGACTAGAGATGCACATCTTGTCCTAAGGCTTCCTAAATCAGTGATTTACAGTAACTGGTAACAATATATTGAACTTGAATTTTCTGGAGGGCTTGCTTTTCTTTCTGTAGTGCTCAGGCATTTTTCATGTTTTGAGAATAATTGCTTCTGGACTGAACTTCTTGCCTTTGTGCATGAACTATGATATTGAGCAATTTTGACATAGCTGTTGTCAGAACTGATTATTCCTTTAACTACTGGGTTTAAATTGCATATTCTGTGATAGTAAATAACTGGAGGAGAATTCTGCTTTCAAGATATCAGTAAGCTAGATATTTAAAATTAAGCAGATGTGAGTAAAATAGTGTAGCCGCTTAATTCAAAAGAAAGATTGGATTACAGAAGGGGATGATGATAGGCAGAATAAAAACCTGTAAAGGCAAGAATGGCCTAGTACTTTCATCTTACATAGCAGACCAACTGGTAGCATCTATGTGGATAAGTACTATTAATAATTGCAGTATTAGCACTGTGACAATAATAAACCATGAGAACAAGGAGGAAGACTGCCTGTGCTCTGAAGAATCAAAATCTGAAATTTCACCTGCAGTACTGCTCCTTAGGAAGTAGGAGAGTGGCAGATGCATGCCGACTGTTTTTCTCCCCGTTGTTTTTTGCTACTTTGTTCAATCTATGAATTGTTCTTTCTGGAATGATCTAATGACTTCACACTGAATCTTCCATCTTTTTCTCTCTTTGAATCTGTATATTCTTTTAAAGTGTGCTGTCTTTCTGTACTGAACTTGCTGTTCAGTAAGCAGGTTACACCTGGGTTGATAATACACAGTTTTAAAGGGAAAAGTGATTTGAATGGCACTTCTCTATATTCAGAACTTAAAAAAAAAAAAAACCTCCCAATTATCCTATGTAATATCTTTTTTTTTTTTTTTAACTGCAAGTCAGTCCACTATAACGTTTTGATCTGAAAATGAAGATGTAATTTCAGTCCACCAAGGAAATTGGTGGTCTCATAACTGCCATCCCTTTATGTTACTGCAGACTGAAAAACGAAGAAGACCGAAAAGAAAGCACTGCTGTTAACAAAAATAAGTATTAATGACTGGAATGTGCCTCAACAAGGAGACTGGTAGACAGCCTAGAACAGACTGAATTTAGTATTATGAAGAACTTCAATAATTTATGCATTAGGAAATTCTTCTTTAACTTTTTTTTTTTTTTTTTTGCATTTTGTGGCATATTCCTTTTGTAGCAGAATTGCTTAGATACAGATGCTTTTTTAGTTAAGAATATCTTGGAGGATTTTTGTTTGGCAGAAGGCAAGTGCACATGTTAAGCAGAGTGCTAATTATGCAATGTTACTTAACTTTTTTACTGTGACTCAGTGGTAAAGTTAAGCTGCAGCAGGCTTCTTGCTGATTATAAACACTTGCATAAGGGAGAAGTTGTTTCATGATCATCTAATGACGTATGTCATTGCCAAAGTTCAGTTTTAATCCTTGTTTCACTATTTCTTAATCTCAGTATAAACTTTGTCTCTTAACTGTAATTAGTTCTTCACAGCTGATAGGACAGACACTTCTTGAAACTTTAAGCTTACAGGCAATATTCCTAGATGATTTTTGAGCAAGATATAGGAAGTTTATAATTTCTTTAAATGAACAAGCCATCTAGCAGTTTTCTGATATTAGATGTATTTATTCATAGAGCAGTAGAACTGTCTCCTGTCTTATGGATCTTCAACAAAATATATTCTGAGCATAAATAGTGGTTCTGTAGCATCTTTTAGAGGTCTCGGCAGACATTTCTCACAGCTAGATGAAGTAAGGTCATAACTCGTTTCTGCCTTAAAAAAAAGATGTCTATTACTGAAAAAAGTCTAAGTTGCAAAAATATAGATGGATTCACTGTTGCTATTGAATGGCAATTATTATTGAAGATCAGGGTCAGGCAATTTGTGGATAATATACCTACTCTTTTTTGAAAAAGTGTAACTTCAAAGCATGCAAGAAGCTACTTCTTAATTTCAAAGTGCAGTCTATTGTTAATTTATTTGCATGGACACCAGTAACAGCATCCTCCTTGGTGGGAAGGATTGCCTCCGGAAACATACACTGTAATATTTAAAGGTTAGGAAGAGGGATTAGCAACGCAACTGTAAAGTGAAAAAATACAGACATTTTCTTTAAGGCAGAATCCTCTTAGATGCTGTGTAAGCTTCCGATACCTGTATGTGAGGCCTGCCGAGCTATAGGTATCTAATGAAATATTTCGTCCAGCAACTTCCATCTAGGGTGAAAAAGAGGACTTTCAGTTTAACCAGATAAAAACTAACCTATAGCTGTCCAGGAGGTATTTCTTTTCACTGTTAGTCAAATCTCATTGAAAAGCATTTGTCAGAATTATTTACCATCTTACTTTCTTTCTTACACAGTTATCCTCTGGCTAAGCTCTGCAGCTCCATCTTGTATAATAAGGTCAGCTTCTAACCTCCCACAAATTTTTATATGTCACACACATGCCCCCTCAGCCTCTTCTCTACTCCTTTTGCTTTGCACAGAAGTAAGTTTGTTTAGGTAGAGTCTGAAAACCCTCATTCACTTGCTGGGAGACTCAGCAGTTTTGCCTCATAATCTACAATAGAGCAGAAAATTGACACCGCACGTGCACATCACCCCGGCTTGAGAGGAAGATGCAGAGATGGCTCCTTGACCTTCAGAAAAACCACCATGCTTCAGTTTTAGAACTGCATAAAACTCTGTCCTGGCTACATCTCTGTATTTCTTCTGTGTTTTCTGAAGAAAACTTCCTGAGGAGCATTGTCCCAGGATGCTGCTTGTTGACAGTCTTTAGTATTAGGTTCCAGTTATCTTCTGGGATACATTTTAAAAACTTTTCTTAGTTATCCTCTATAGCTACAGGTGAAAAGCATGAGCTACATTTTCACTTTCTAGCACTACATTTTATATTTGCTACTGGGCTTTGTGTATAAAGTATTTACCCTTCAACAGATTCTCAAGAGTGATGCTCAGACAGCAGTGGGAAAGTACTGCACCATCTATTCAATTGTGATCTGGCTGCTGCACTAACACTGAGCCCTGGTGGGATGCTTAAAATGCTGAGGAGACTCTTAAGATCACATCCCTGTTCCTCTGAGTTTAGCGATGATAAGGAAGTAAAAAACATCAGAACAGGAGTACAGAGAATTTGACTACACCAGTGACAATTTCTCAAACCTGCTAAAGCATTATACAGCTAATCCCTTCCACTCTATGCTTATCAGTAAACCAAAACACTTAGCATTTGAACTGAACAGAGTTGAAACTACATTGCAGAATGAGCAGTAGCTTTTCTGCTAGGCTTTTAAGTACTTTCAGAAGCTTCCTTTAAGTATATCCTGCATTTTTAGGTTAATTCTGTTTACCTCAAATAGTATGCCAGTTGAACACCATTGATGCTAATCTGACCACAACTCTTACTGCAGAGAAGTTAATCATTATTGAATTTAAGGCAACACACATTTTAAATGTAAATAGTAAACAAATTAATTAAACTGTTCAGAGGGCAGATTTTTCCATAACTTTGAGAAACATTTATCACTGTCGAATAGAGGTATTGTACAATTCTCAGTGGCCAGTATTTAAGGTCCCTTGTAAAAATATGACTGATACAGCTTTTCACCAAGGGAGGATAAATACATTGCACAAGAATGTGCACTATGATGGAGATACCATCTGTTAATTTTTAAAATATATTGATCTTTCTAGTAGCTGTCTTTCCAGAGACATACCGTCAGATACTTACATGTTAAATTAAAACAACATTTTTTTCTATGAATTCAAATAAGAAGCACCTTATAAGCATTGATGAATCGTATCCTGACACATGTTGGCAGTCATTTAAGTCAATTTAAACAGGAAATTTTGCTGACATTTATGCTACATGTTGTTAGATGAATCAAAAAGTATCTCTTATGGGATACTTTTTTCATACATTGCTTGACTCTTAGAGAACGAGTATGCATGTTTTGAGCCTAAAACATTATCAGTGATGAAGTACTTCTGCAGCCTTGTCTTACCTGCTGCAATGCTAGACTGCGCTACAGAATACACATCTTAGCTTGGGAGATAAAGAGAATTTTTAAGGTGGAAGTCAAGTCTGTGAAATAAAACCATACTAAAAAGAATCCTTCACTTATGTTTTGTAATAAGCTGACTAATGTAGCTCTCTTATTTCAGTATTTTATGTGAAAATGTTTAGAAAGCAAGAGAGGCCAATTAGCTGAGAGCATCAATCATGAACACCAACACAAAGAATGACTTTTTTCTTGGTAAATCTTACATTTTACAGCAGCGATGAGCTGGTAAGGCTCTCAAGTGCAATATCAACAGCACTGCTTATTTAAGTGAATGAATTCCTCATTCTCTTTAGAGAATGTGATTATGTTAAAAGCAGTCAGTGAATACAATGCCTTCACGTAAGTGAGAAAATGTCTTTTTTCTGGTTCATTAATTTAAAAGGATCGAGTTCCTTCAACTGAGGAACTACCATGCCATTTCCCTATGTTACAATCTTGCACATAGTTAAAACATTCAATTCAGATATGACAGAATAATTTTTTGCCTTGAAATTAAGGTGTCCAGTGAAAGTCAGTTAAATGAAATCATCTTTGCAAAGGACATTCTGCTTTTGGCTCAGAAGAGATTTATTCTTTGCAGCTGAAGTGGAAATTCTTTCAGTTGAATAACAGCTTGAATTCTATTTTGATATTGCTAATAGTCTCAAACTCCCCCTCCCCCCCCCCAAACTACTGCATCTCTTTCTTTGGTCTGGGATATCACATCCTACATACAATTTCAGTTCTATAGGTCAGTCTTGCTCCTGCTTTATTTCTTGTTAAAGCAACCAAATCATGCTTTGCAAACGTGCAACCTGTTCTCAGCTTCTAAACACCTGAGAAGTGGATATTGAGCTCCTTCCTTTCTCTATAAAGCAAAATACGGCAAATACCACCCTTTAACAAGCAACTTGTCTACACTGGGCTGTGTAGTCCCAAGTGCTGTTGTGTTGGCTGTACACAACGGAGTGCTGCATTCGTGATGGATTTGACATCTACTTGTCAAGAGCAGTTCTTACAAGGCTTGCTTGTATTGGTGGACCGTTTTCAGTATAAAATTGTTTCCTCATCTTAGTTGCCCCAAACTGCAGGTGAACTTTAGTACTGAAGAATAACTGGATTCTTTGCCTTAATGTTTAATTCCAGTCAATGGAAAAAATTCAGGTAGTACTGTCGGTTGTTCAAAAGATAGGTTTGTGAGTGAGTGAGTGAGTATGTGTTTGTGTGCATGTAAACTCCAAAAAATTGTTGGCGAGGACTGGCTGACTTTAGTTTGTTGTAGAGGTTTAAAAGAAATACGTTAGATCTCAACTCAAGCTTTCTGACTGATGCTTTAACCCAAGATAACTTGAGTCATACCTAAAATGTTGCAACTCATATCTATTACCTGCATATGCTGCATATGTGACTTTGTGGTAACACTTTTCCCTTGCGCACTAGAGGAAGATCCGGGCCAAGGAACTTTGTAGGTCTAATAAATTTGCCAGTATTCTTGTTTTAAACGATTGCTTCTATTGAAGGGAAAAAGAACAAAACTAAAAACAACACAAACAAACCGAGTAAGATTTCTCTCCTGTTACATCTGCACATTTTGTACAGAAAACCCTTTCTCGACTTTTGGGAGAAAAAAAAAAAACCTGAACTCTGTTTTGTTTTGTTTTCCACGTACTTAGCGTGACTGTGGTTTATCCAGGAATAAAGACGGAATTTTTAACATAGGCATACTATAAAGAAATGGAACACAAGTTTCATTCTCCTCAGTATGCTATCACCAATAATTCTACTACCGAAGACCGTGTGGAGACACAGTGCTAGCTGAAAAGGGAAATGACCTCAGGGTGGATACACTCTTTTGGTAAAGCTGTGCCTGAAGGGTAATTTTTAATAATCTCTGTGCTTTTGTCTAAATGCTTTCGTTTTAGACAAAACGTCGTTTTGCTGTCGTTTTACAAGATTTTGCTCCTGTAAATGGAATTATCAGTTCCTAAAACAGCAGTGAAAATGCAGACATTTAAATTAAATACTCTAAATATGTCACTTTACAATTAATTTTTTCCCCCTTAAAGTCTCTTTATAAATGTAAAACAAACAACTGTCTAGCAGTCTCCTCCTGTCTTCTAAAGCACGGATCAAAGGTTCTTAAGATAGTCTCATTTATAAAATGGGAATGGGCTTGTGGGGGAAAAAAAAAAAAGTTCAGTAAGTTAATAATACTGACTTTTGGGGTTACAGCCCTACCAAACTCTAGTGGACAAATTAAAACTGAAATTTACCTGAGATACATTGATCAAATACCAGAAATATGGGGCAAATGGAGTTCATTTGTTTCAATAAGATACAGCAGCTCACTGCATATTGAGTCCAGAAGTCTGATTTCAGGTTAACTGTCTTTTGTTTTCTAGCTGAAAGAAAATATCTAAAACTGACATTTCAGTACAATAGTCTTTTTTTTCCTTTCCTTTTTTGGCAGGTTGGTTCAAAGCTTATCTCCTGCCACAAACTGGTGCTAGCTTGTGTTATACCTTACTTCAGAGCCATGTTTCTTTCAGAAATGGCTGAAGCCAAGCAGACGCTGATTGAGATCAGGGACTTTGATGGTGACGCAATAGAAGATCTAGTGAAGTTTGCGTACTCCTCCCGACTTACTCTTACAGTTGATAATGTCCAGCCTCTCTTGTACGCTGCTTGCATTCTTCAGGTGGAGCTTGTAGCAAAAGCTTGCTGTGAATACATGAAGTTACACTTCCATCCCTCCAACTGCCTGGCAGTCAGGGCATTTGCAGAGAGTCACAACCGCATTGACTTGATGGACATGGCTGATCAGTATGCTTGTGAACATTTTGCCGAAGTGGTGGACTGTGAAGACTTTGTGAGCGTGTCACCGCAGCACCTCCATAAACTCTTGTCCTCCAGTGATCTGAATATAGAAAATGAAAAGCAAGTTTACAACGCTGCTATCAAGTGGCTTCTGGCCAACCCACAGCATCATGCTATGTGGCTGGATGAAATACTTGCTCAGGTAGGGTAGAGTGAGGCACTGGGTGCGTGGCCTATCACTGGTTTACTTCTCTATCAACTGTTTTCAGTTGGGTAGCTTTTATGAAGAAAGATGTTTTTACCAGTTGGTGCCTCCTCTGTTATTCAGAGCTGTTAGCTGAGATTGGAAGCAGGTTAGACCTCCAGAATATGAGGACAAAGTCATGTTCTCCAGGCTCTAAAAAGAAAAGAGTGCTCCCTTTATGCTAATGTGTGTGTGGTGGGGAGGGAGGAGGCAAGAGCCAACAAAAAAGCTTTATCTGCCAGAGCAGAAACCTCCTAGACTTATACACAGCGAAGTGGAGAATGTAAAGCCATCATTTCACATGTTTGGATACTACTACAACCTGAAATGCCAGCTTCCTTTACTGGTAAGTATTTGTACTTAACAAAGCGAAGCATATTTATTTAGGAGTTCTGTTACAGGGCTAGGAAAATAAAATACTAATGGGAAGACATGTCACCAAGTTGTGCTGCTTCTAGGATGTTTTGTGTATATATAATTAACAGAAGACCAAGATTTTGTACCTAGATCAACAGACTAGGAAAACCGTGCCAGACCTTTTAATGTTCACTAGACTAGGAAAACCATCAAACTACTGGTGACCTGTAGGATCCACAAAATAAGTTTTCAGTTTAAACGTCTAGACTCATTAAGAGTCCATTGCTTCTCAAAGAAATTCATAAATGCATCAAAAGGGTCACTCAACTGAAGCTATATAAACATCCTTCAGAACCTTCTCCTGTCAAAATATTATGTACTTCAGTTATGCAAACTCCACGCAGGCTGGTAATAGAAGTTTAAAATACAGTATTTGAGAAAGGTATGGAGAATCTGCACTGAATGGGGGAGCAGTTCCCATCCACTTTAAAATGCAATATCTATCTTAGCAGGTAGACACGCCTGTGCTCTTTCAGTTGTCACTAAATTAACTCAAATATTTTGCTTCACAAAGTTCTGCACTTAAGCAGAATTGCTAATATTTGCATTATGTAAGTACTGAGAAGCCCACTAACATGATGATTTCATTCTCTTGTATTATTTTTCACTTTTCCTGATGAAAGATCACAACTCTTCATTAACTGGCTTCCAAAAAAGCTTCCATTTCCTCTAGACCAACATGAAGTCGTTGTATACTTGCACATATTTATGGTATAGACCTAATACCATTTAAGGGCAATGTTAATTTGAGCTTTTTAAAAAAAATTAGATCGACTTTTATTGTCCCATTATGTTAGGAAATGAAGATAACAGCTTTATCCTATTCATGGAAGCCAAGTCTCTAAATACGGGTTATTTGCCAAGCAGTATATGGAACTTCCAATGGCACTGGACATCGCTGCTAGCTGAAAACAAGATTGTGATTCTTGTCAGTTGTTAAAAATCTAAGCTACCCACATCATAATCAGTCTTACGGGTTAACTTTGTTATAACTAGATTCTGAACTTCTGTCAGCCTTGAGTTCTTAGTGCATCATTAACCTCATGCGTCTACTAGCAGGGCTATTGGGAGTGCTTTGAATCAGCCCAAAATGAGCAAGGGCCAAAGTAAAGCAAGAACTGGGTTTGGAAGCAAGTGGGTAAGGAAGAACTGAAAGAGACTCCTGCTTACTCGAAGGTAGGGATGCTTGTAATCAGCGTAGCAATACCATCCTATTGCTTGGAGAACCACCCAAGATACCGGACTACTACTTCACCATTAGATCTACCTGGGAAACTCTTCAACAGCGTTGGCCCAAGCTAATTACTGTTTGAAAGTCAGGCGGTCCCACATTTTGGCCTTCCTTCTGTCATCCCAATCTGCTTATACTTCATATTCCTTGTGCTTTCTCTCACAAAGGCAAGTGAAAGATTTGCAAAAATCTTCTACTGTGAGGAGGAGGACTTTTCAAGGGAGTATTTCGGAAGCCTACCTTATTTCAGATCTGCCTTGTCGCGGGATTACTGCAGGCATTGACTGCTGGTGGCTGGGTAGAAGTGTCTCACCCCATGCAGAGCCTCACCGTTCTTAAGCTCGATCACCAGGCCTTCTGGGGAAATACAGGAAGGATTTGGGAAAGAAACACCTTAGTAACAAAGGCTAATGGAAAAACTGAAGTCCGTTAGTGCAGGAAAAAAAAACTTTCACAATACCCATAGACATCTGCCAGTATGCTTATGGCCTCTTAACTCCTATCAGCTGGGGCTCTGCCTCATGAGACTATTTTAATATTAGCCTGTTTAAAGATCTTGGACCTGCTCTTGTTGTTATATTCTGATGTTAATCTGATAACAAGATTTCATAGTCTAATTTGAGTGAACTACACTGCATTATAGTTTTCTTTAGTCTTCTCTGCTGCCTCGTCTGGTGTTGTTAACAATTAGCTCTCAACTTTTTTCTTATCCTTCAGGCCGTCAGGCCAAGTCCATGCTAGAGAACAGTGTTACTGCTGCGCTAGCAATACTTCCTTAATATACACTTAAGTTTTTACTTGCCACCCAAATAAAACGAAGTATTCTAACAAAAGTCCCCTTACGCTGCCATATAAATGAGATTAAAAATTCATATCCTTAACAGACTAACCCAAAGTAGGCTATTCCAATAAAGTTACAGTCTCTACCTATATCACATCCCGAAGGAGCACCCTGCAGTGCCTGATGTACCTGCTGGCATTGCAACTAAGGCCCTGCCTCCACAGGCCGCTGCAGTTCTCCCGCCTGCACTCAGCCTGGACAAAGCGACAGTTCTCCCAGTGCTGCTTAAATGTAAATGGTTATAGCAAGAGTTTGTCACTAGAAAGAACTGTTTATGCCAGCGCTCCTCCTGAGGAAAACCACAAAAGCCAACTGGAATATAGTTACTCTTTTTACTGAGGCGTGTGGGGCTGATGGTTGGCTCTGAGGTTGCAGTCTGGTATGTATACATCACTGTTAATAGTTAGATTCAGTTAGTTTAGCCAGTTATTCCAACTGTGTTCATTTCTGTCAGGTACGACTGCCTCTGTTGCCCATTTGTTTCCTTATGGGTGTTGTGGCAAAGGAAGAGATTGTCAAGCAGAATCTAAAATGTAGGGATTTGCTGGATGAAGCAAGAAACTACCACCTTCACCTGAGCAGCAGGGCAGTGCCAGACTTTGAATACTCCATTCGCACAACACCAAGGAAGCAGACTGCTGGTAATTAAATGTGTGTCTGATTATCTAGTATTGAGTGGTGTGGAAAAAGGGCAGCTCATCTGTTTAGGGACAGTTAGCTTGGTATAAATGGTTGTTAATGACTTCATGCACAATTGGAAGAGCCCTTGTGCACCTCTCTGGTGATGAGGTTATGTGCTGCATTTTCTTAGCAGAACTTTAAAGTCTTTGTTTAGAAAAATACTTATTTATCTTGATCAGCTGTATCTGTATTCAAGCTAGAACTTTTAAGTAAGTTATGTGCAGGCAGTATACTTGAAACTATGTAGAAAACAATGGACGCTTTTTTCCTTTCGCATGTGAAGGCTGGGCTAACTTTTAAACTCTTTGGCTAACCAAAGCCAAAAAGCAAGTGATGCACATAAGACTGCAAATCCTGTTTTTTACATTCAGTTATATTTAACAAACAATATATTTTTCTCCCTAAGAAAATGACAAAAAAGCATATTTAAAATATATATTACTTTTGCAAGGATGTTGATAGTTAATTGTTAGAACAGCATGCCAAATGAAGGCCAAAATCCAGGGTCCAAAAGGCAGGACAAAGAAAGGGCCCCTTGAACGGAAATGGGACCCATCTCAAATGGTATGGTTATTGATCCACTCTACTATACAAATTTAACCCCATGTTTTCCTACTAGTTCTCTGGAAACCTCTTTTGTCTTGTTCAGGTGTGCTATTCTGTGTTGGTGGAAGAGGCGGATCAGGTGACCCATTTCGCAGCATTGAATGTTACTCTATAAGTAAGAACAACTGGTTCTTCGGCCCTGAAATGAACAGTAGGAGAAGACACGTCGGTGTGATCTCTGTGGGAGGTCAGTAACGCAGCAGCCCTGCTCAAAAGGCACTTTTTTGTTCCTTTTGCTGGAATTGGTGCTTTGAGTAAATTAATCTATCTTGTATTGGCCGCACTGGTGGATATCCTTCAGTTTTGTAAAGCTCCTTCCCCATGAAGGGGTTATTACTTTTATAACAATATGAGAGTATGGTTACTGAAAAGACATTAATGCTGTGTATAGCCTGTTGCTACCTTATTAAGTGTTTTAACATTTATCTCTCCATTTCTAAAGAAATACTGTTATATAGGATAGTAACCCAGACTTTGTTAATACTCATACTAGCTTCCTTCAGACTTTAATCCATACTGGCTTTTCTCTGTTAGGCAATTCATTGAGACCATTACTCTTCTAAGAGTAAACCTACCTTTATTTTTGGGACTCCCCAACTTCTGAAACCCAGTCTGCGCAGTTCAGAGCAGCTTAGCATCCATGACTCAACTCTTCCTCATACAGGGTCCAAAACTGACTTGAACTGCAATACCCTAACAAGGCAGACGAAGATTTCCTATATACATATTTCAAGATTTGTATAGCAGTCCGTGTTAAAACTTCTCTGGCTGAGTATAGCATATACAAATATGAAGTCTTAACTTCCTAAAAACTTGATACTGAAAAACTTTAAGACTTTAACGTTTACTTGCGTTTATTTCTCCATATAGGCAGGGATATTATATAAATGAAAACTGAAATGTTGCCAAGCAATCTCTGTATCTAAATATGTGTATGCATTTCAGGTAAAGTCTATGCAGTAGGTGGACATGATGGAAATGAACACTTAGGAAGCATGGAAGTATTTGATCCGCTCACAAACAAGTGGATGATGAAGGCATCAATGAACACAAAGAGGTACATGTCTCAGGATCCAACACGGGACAAAAATTTTAAGTCCTACACCTTGATCCATCATTTATTGCTGATGCTGGAAGACATTCTCATATCTATCCTGGGCCTTATTTGGGTTCCCAAACTCAGCTATTTTTAGGATTTTTTTTTCTATTTTGGGGTTCAAAGGCCAACACAATCTCTTATTTACTAGCTATAGAGCAAACAAATCTGCGTCATATACTTGCATACATCACATATTTGCACAAACACTGAGTTGTGAGGAACATACTAGGAGTTTCACTGAAAGACTGCAGAATCCCTCTTTCCAAGGGAAGGCCCTGGCTGGTAACGTTGGTTACGTTTGTTCTTTGGCTTTTTTGTGTGCGTCTCCATTAATCTTATTTTCTGCTAAGCCAGATAAAGGAAGAGGAAACTGGTTTTGTGGATTTTTCCAGGAACGACCAAGGTCATTAGCAGTAGGACATGTGTAATAAAATACTTGATGCCCAGGGAACCAATAACAGCTCATGCTTTTTTGCCAGAAAAGGCTAGAAGCACCAAAACATTGAAAGTCATGTAGTGGATTTGTCTTGCCTTTGGGCACTTAGATTCTTCTGAAGAGCTACTGGACTGGCAGATCCTAAATTTTTTCTTTCTGCTATCATTTAAATCAGTCTCTTTAACTCTACATTTAATTTTATAACTTGTTCTTTTTAACAGTGTCACGTACAAGGGGGAGTAAAATAGTAGGCAAGACTAATCCTAAAGCTGTTTGCAGCTGTAATGCAATCAAAGGAGAAAACCTAGACTCCTAGAAATGCCTTCTGCCTCCCCCCGCCCCCCAGCATATTCTTGGCAAACTTCAGTTCTGGATTTTTGTGACACTTCTCAAATCAGTCAGCAAGTGAAATGGCTACTGTGCCTTGGCTAAGCTCCACTGGTCCAATCCAAGGCAAAAGGTATCAGAATACTTATTTGAGAAAAGCGATTTTTCTTCTAAGTTATTTCCTATTTTAATTGTAGCAAATCTCTCTAGAATGCACAGGATCTTTTGCAAGCAGAGAAGCTAAATCTAAACTATGGATTGGATTAACATAGGCCTATTGGCCAACTAGTTGCTTATGTGTACCACTGACTGACTGGTTATAGCGTGCCATGTACATCACCTGGTCTTGTTGGTCAGGCTTTGCGGTACGCTAATTTCCCTGAATTTCTCACCCAGCTTGTCTGGGAGGGCTGGGGTTGGGGTGTGTGTGTGGGGGGGGCTCTCCCCCACCCCCCATCCACATTTGACCGTGAAGGAGCTGATGGAGCCTAGTGACAAACAGGACACAAAGCCAGGCAAGACACAACTGGCCGTGCAGTCAGATGAACAAGAGGGAGCGCAGATGCTCGGAAGCAGAGGAGGAAGAGAAGGAAAGGAACAGGATAAGTTCTTTAGATTATAATGTACTGTGAGGGTCACCTGTCATGTCATATGGCGCTGTTAGCCTGGATGTCTTTAAATCAGACTCTACAGTAGACTTTGTTTTCCTTGGTCGACAGATAGATCCTAGCTCACTGTGGTTGTTATCAGAACTGACCACAGAGGTGAAGGTAAAATGTAATGCTGTTTTGACTGCTACCATTAATGGAACCAAATACACACCATCTGTTGAGGCAATTTAAGACATGCCTGGGATCTTGCCACACTGTTGATTCTGTAGAAGGACTCTGTCTCCATCTATCCGATCTAAATTATCGGATTAAGTAAGAGAAGAGCGTTCTCCCTGAAATATTAAATCATGCAGCTTTGTAATTTAAGTAGAAATTTAACACTTACCTTCTAGACCATACTTTACATTAAGTTCTCTATTGGCATACTTTTCATTTTATAGTACCAAGTGTACTCTCATATTGGTAGATTTCATAGATTAAATCTAACAACTCTTGCAACACAGTCTTAATAAAAAAACAGAACGCACGAAATTGCAATTAAATCTTTCTAGAGGCCAATCTTCTAATATCTGCTATACATTTTTTTTTAGTGCATACTAACATCACCCCCCCAAAATTAATTCCCCAATTACAGCAGCAGTTACAGTAACACAGTTAAAGTCAGCAGGTTCATCCACCAGATACAACACAGACAGACAGGAGGCATAAAGTTCAGGACGGAGGCAGAGGAATCTAATGCTCATATAATGCAGACAGACTTGGGCCTTGGACGACCTTCAGTCAAAACAGTATCCCATGGCCTTTTTACAGGTCCCTCATCTTTTTTGAAGTCAAAAAGAAATTCTAGCCAGAACAGTCCTCTCTGCTAGTTTTAGATCACAGGATCAACACAGAAGTGGCTGGAAAAGCTGAGGTGATGTTAAGGTAACTCGAGAGGTCCCTCCCCCCCAATGGGAGGCTGCGAGTGTACAAGAGACGTTCTGCATAATGCTGCAAGGCTGACAAGTGTGCGGAGAGCCAGCACATGCTGAGCTCCTGTTCACTTGCATAGTTATTGATGATTATTTATTCTAAACTTGATTTGTTTTTAGGTTTTACTTTTTTCCCAAACCTGGAAACAGTTGCCAGTTAGACAAAGCTGCACCTGATGCGTCTTTCCTACTCCCCTTAAGAATTCACACTGAAGTATTGATTTTACGATGTTATTAGGAGAGGAATTGCTCTTGCCTCCCTCGGTGGCCCCATATACGCAATAGGAGGTTTAGATGACAACACGTGCTTCAGCGATGTGGAAAGATATGACATTGAATCCGATCGATGGAGTGGAATAGCCCCAATGAACACTCCCAGAGGAGGAGTTGGCTCTGTAGCCCTCGTGGTAAGTTACTGTTTTCTCCCAAGTCAGGGATGAACCATGAGGAACCCAACTCTGGGACTGCTTTTTAAATTAAAATAAAATAAAATTAAATTAAAATCTTACAAGGCAAAACAGCAAGATTTTGAATAAAATAAGGTTGGTGAGTCTGAGCATTTCTGGCCATCAAAAGCCTATTGAACTGTGCAAAAAATAAAGGTATTTAGAGTCTTTATCACACTGATTTATGCTCCCCGTTTTAACAGTATTTGAGGTACTGTGAGTAAGCCTGTCATCAAGACGCCTTTAATTACACTAGCATAAGAGAGGAGAGGGAAACTAATGCTTCCGGTCTCATTCAGAAGACTCTGGTTCGTCATGGTTACTACGTTTAATGTGCTGCATCTATCACTACTTTAATCCTTGTGTTGTCATGTATGCTCTGCAAAGTATCTGGAACACTATACAACTTTTCCACTTGCTTAACTGGAAATAGCATTTGCAAGCTATTAAAAAAAATCTGTTGTCTGAATTCTTAAAAATAAACAAACAGGACACCATGGATACATCAGGCAGGCTTTCCTCAGATTTTAACATTTCCTATGAAAAGCTGGATGCCTCTCTCTCTCTCTCTCTATGTATATGATATAAGTATATATAATTTTTCTCTTTTTTTTCAGAACCATGTTTATGCTGTGGGTGGCAATGATGGCGTAGCATCTCTTTCCAGTGTGGAAAAATATGATCCCCATTTGGATAAGTGGATAGAAGTGAAAGAGATGGGTCAGCGAAGAGCTGGCAATGGTGTCAGTGAGCTCCATGGCTGCTTGTACGTTGTCGGTGAGTGGGAATGTGGCATTTTGTATACTGTTTCTGCCAAGCACCGGAGTGTGGAATAGGTTGTTGTTTTTGCTAAAGGGAACAGATAGACCTGACCTGTACTTTGTGTTCTTGGGTAGGAGAAGGAAGCAAGCACCACCAGGGCACACCTAGACAAAGATTCAATAGTGAGGAAATAAAAAGTGGTTCAAATTTCACATTTAAGGAGGACTATACTGTCCAGAACAAGATGTCTACATGAAAAATCCTCATGACGCTACTCTCTAATCACTAGTTTCCTTGTTATGGAAGTTACTCATAAATCCACATCTTTTAAAGCAGTCAGTTCTATTTTGAGTGTAGACTTCAGTAGCTTTTTGGCAGAGTGATTACACTTACTCAACTGCCTGTTGACCTAAGCCCGTGTTATTGTACTATAACTGTGCATGGCATTTAACTGCTTTCCTAAGGGAAGAAGATGCCAGTCAAGTCTGCCGTAGTGATGATTAGAGAGCGCTAGCTGTGCCTGTGCTCTTAGCTATCAAGTCTGACATATGACTGTACTTCCACAATTGCACTTGTCATAATGGTGGTCAGCACGTCGTCAGTTCAGCCGATTAAGCTACTGGTCAAACTGATGTCGTGTGTTATCTTAAATGATTAAAACAAGAACACAGGATTTTTCTGAGTTAGATGTTCCTTTTACAGCTGCCCCACCAAGGAGAATGTTTCACTGCAGTCTATCTTACTTGAGGAGTTTTTTCCTGTTAAAGTTTTCAGCACTACTTTAATTTGGAAACAGCGCAAGAGCTGGTTTTGTTTCAGCCAAAATAAAATCAAGACCATGCTTTTGCTGGTCTCTCTGTCCCCCCCCAAATTAGCAGTGACTTCATTAAAACTAAATATAGTATGAACTCAAGCAGCAAATAATACAAATACTCATTGTAAAAAGGGGTGAAGAAGAAAACTGTCGCTCATCTAAGTGAATCTTCCCTTGAAGTTATCATACTTGGACAGGACTGAGAGCTGTTACAGTAATTTTTCAGGAACTTTTTAAAGATTCGCATAAAAATATAGCCCTGGACACCAGCCCGCTAAATGCAGAGAGTACCCAGATAACGTGAATCCTGGATATCACCACCACTAAAAGTGGCTAAATACCAATATATGATGATTCTTTGCAGGTGGTTTTGATGACAACTCTCCACTGAGCTCTGTGGAGCGGTTTGACCCACGCAGTAACAAATGGGAGTATGTAGCAGAGCTTACAACTCCAAGGGGTGGAGTTGGCATAGCAACACTGATGGGTAAAATTTTTGCAGTTGGAGGTCATAATGGCAACGCATACCTGAATACAGTGGAAGCATTTGATCCCATAGTGAATAGGTAATTTAACATTTTTCATTTGGCATAATAAAACAATGATATCTGCCTACATAAAAGCAGAACATAATAGGAGTAGTGTGCAGGAA